CCCAGGTTAAAGTTGGAATGTAACAGTTTATCAATGGAAGTAACAGTTTTGCTATATTTGTTTTGAGCATGCCTAAAAGGCCACGTCGTAATATTGGTCGTCGCACCAATAATGCAAATATTGTAAGTGAGTGGCGTCGTGATCAAGAAGAACCAGATGAAGCAGTGGTGGAAGAAGCTAATAATGATAGGCAGTTAGCTAATCAATTCCAACATGAATTAGATGCACTAAAATTTTACACTTGCACTTGCACTAACTAACTGTCATCGCCAACACAACAACTAACAGCTTCAAACCAATCACAGATTGTTCGCGTTGTCGTTCAAATGCAACTAAATTCACGGCGTTAAATAATATATGGATGTGTCAAGTGTCCCGAACGAATTAACTGACCTGACGATTGTAGAACAAATGTTGATTAACAAACAACAATGTTGATTAACTAACAAACAAAGGATTGTGTAATTTTGTGCACTTGGCTTTGTAAAGGATTATTTGCTCTCCAACAGAAAACCGCATTAATTCCGATGTCAAAAATTCCGTTATGTATTATGGTGAAATTTGATAAATATAATGGACCCACTTTAAATGAAGGCGAAATACCTATCCAAAGCGTTATCCAGGTTATCCAAAGCGCAAGTTTAAAAAAAACCAACGTATATCGTGTTATCTTGTGTAAGGCCACAATGGTACTTACGTATTATACGGAGGCCACTTATTTTACAGCGCGCTGCGGCGGTTGGGTTAAGTTGGGTTATCATAAATATGTTTGTAGAACTTTCCTAGTTTCGTTATGAATCGAACTATACGAGATGAGTCATAAAAACTTATGATAACCCAACCTAACCTAACCGCCGCAGCGCGCTGTAAAATAAGTGGCCTCCGTATAATACGTAAGTACCGAAACAATTTCCACTCAAAGTAGCGTATGCATTAACAATACATAAAGCACAAGGTATAACTGTGGACCAAGCTGTTGTGGACATTGGATCTTCAGAATATAGCTTAGGTTTGTCCTACGTAGGCCTATCAAGAGTTAATACATTTGAAGGCCTGCTTCTGGATCCACCATTTTCACTAGACCGATTGATGTCAATTAACAGACACGGATCTTTGGCAAAGAAGAAATAAGCTCTTGACCGTTTAAACGAAATGTCAAATACGCACCTTTTATCAATTCTTATTCTTATTCTTAACTAAATAAATGAACTATCAGATAAATTTGTCATTCTTTAGAACTTAAATAATATCGGGCAAACAAACGGTGAATCTGTTGAAAGGGAACATATTGTAGGTTGTTAGCTGCTTTAGCCATTGACAATCTTTAAATAATGCTTCGCTCATTTATCCGTCTAAAGTGTAACGGCAGACCACCCTAGTTTTACAATAAATTCCCGATAACACTGGACCTAATCTAATAGATAATTACTATATGGCTACTACCACGAATCCTAGAAAAATAAAAACGGTCTTTTCTAGTATTCGTGGCTACTACTATCTGTGCTACTACGCAACAACGTAGGCTTATTTCAGGTGACCGGTCTGTAACAATTATCCGATTTTGAAGAAATTTGATACAAACGTGTAAACCTATGTTTACCTATTGAACGAGTTCGCAAACCAGCATGATCGGACTGTTGTAGCAAGGTTTTATGGGGTAAAATGGTTTTATCCCATTTTTGACCCCCAAAACATACAAAATTTTGCCATTTATTCAGAAGGTATTTTTTAGAGCTTAAAAAACATATAGTAAAGTATGTTTAAAGCGTTCTTTGTACAAAACAGTTACAGAGAAAGAAAACTCAAATATAGCTTATTCCCTATATGGAAAATTCGCTAAAAGACTGTAAATTAAAAACCCATAAGTTATTTTTATTAGAGAATAAAAATAAATGTTGTAGTTTGTTTATTTAAGGTTTGATCAAACTTAATAGTTTTGATCAAACTTAATAGTTGTGAATTAACTAATTGACCTATTAACTTTTTAATAAAAATCACACTTTATTACTTTTCCTGTTGCAGCAAACCTATAAGCACTCGTAAAACTTATTATTTGAATCGAAATTACCGTAACCATTTCACATTGAAGAATGCAATAATCAACGTTTTAAACTTAAATCAATATTTTAATTACTGTTTACTGTTTTAAACTTATGATGAGAATTGTAGATAGAACATCTACAATTCTAATCTGTGGGTTATTGTCCTTAACAAGTATTCTGAGCAAATAAGTAAACCACTAATTGAGGAAAATTATGCCCAATTTTATGAAGAATCCAACAAATTGCTCATGATGCCGCTTACTATTTGCAGTCTGCAGAAAATGGTTGTAAACTTTCTGAAATTATTATTTTTTCAATAGTGCGAGTATAAAACCAATGGATTGGATACTGAAGTAGGCCTAGGCGTCCCAGCAATCAACAAGGGGTAGGTCAAGACTACAAGATCTCGCCACATCATCCTATACACTCATGTCCATTCATACTTGGCTTAAAATACCTACGTTGTATGTACGTTGTCATTGTCCATTTCATTGAAAAGTATTAAAGTATTAAATTCTTAAATAGCAGCATATGTCGAGTTTGGTTTATAATTTAAGGTCGATTGTCTTTAACTTGTCGGGTATTAATGAATACGAGAGCACGCCCCGTGGTCGAAAAATCGACCAAAAGTATGTTTTGTGCAAACTTCTCTATTTTCACCCCACCCTGTAAATAAAACATGTGATTGGAATGTCTTCCATTTGTTTTGATTTTCTGTTTATATTTTGTTGTTATTTCGTCATCACCATAGCAACCCATAAGACCCATGTTAACTTTTTAAAATTTCAAATTCATTTTTTGTGGTTATTTTTGAGCCTATTTTAATTTATAAAGGGATTCTGCACACCTACAGGAAAATAGCTTTCTAACGGTATGCGTAGATTTTCCCTACGATACACACGAGCTGAGAAAAAAGGTTTTAAAGAAACATGCTTGCCTATTAATATATACACTAGTGGTCGTCCTGTGGTCGAAACTCGACCAAAAATAATTAATGTACAGACTTCTCTATTTTCTCCCCACACTGTAAATAAAACATGTGATTGGAATTTCTTCCATTTGTTTAGATTTTCTGTTTACATTTTGTTGTTATTTCGTCACCATCATGGCAACCCATATGGTCCATGTTAATTTTTTGAAGTTTTCAAATTCATTTATTGTTCTTATTTGTTAGCCTATTTTAATTTTTAAAAGCATTCTGCACATCTACAGGAAAATATCTTTCCAACAGTATGCGTAGATTTTCCCTGCGATGCACACGAGCTGAGAAAAAAGGTTTTAAAGAAACATGCTTGCCTATTAATATATACACTAGTGGTCGTCCTGTGGTCGAAACTCGACCAAAAATAATTAATGTACAGACTTCTCTATTTTCTCCCCACACTGTAAATAAGACATGTGATTGGAATTTCTTCCATTTGTTTTGATTTTCTGTTTACATTTTGTTGTTATTTCGTCACCATCATGGCAACCCATATGGTCCATGTTAATTTTTTGAAGTTTTCAAATTAATTTTTTGTTCTTATTTGTTAGCCTATTTTAATTTTTAAAAGCATTCTGCACATCTACAGGAAAATATCTTTCCAACAGTATGCGTAGATTTTCCCTGCGATGCACACGAGCTGAGAAAAAAGGTTTTAAAGAAACATGCTTGCCTATTAATATATAGATAGATAGATAAAAGTATATTTTATGGACACTTGATTTATTACGATAACTAAGGCACAGTACATGGTTATAGACCCATACAGTAGTGTCGTCTTCGTCTAGAATATCGGAAGTTACCGATGTACAAAAAACGCATTTTAAAATAATTTTAACAACACAAGGACTCAAATACAAAGAATGCAAAGGATATGAACACTAAGCAAATCAAAATACTCATTGACTCGATTAGAAAGTCATTGTAGGTGTTGAGAGATATATTTGAATTACAGATGTTAAACTTCCGTCTGCATTGAGTACTCGAAACCTAACTTGCAGTAGAGAACATTATTGTAATTGAAACAGTTAGGTCTATGTGTTATTTTTGTTACACGATTTTGTTTCCAAGTGAGTATTTTCAATTCTACCATTATTATCAATTCATTCGATTAGTTACATAATTTGAGACTAGTGTATTCCTTATTTCATTCACTACTTTTAGCTAGTTCCTACTGCTATGGGACGGTTAAAGTCTGGTACTGTTGAAAAACGTTTTGAAATTAAAATGACACTCAAGTATAAATTGCTTTGTGTATAGAAATTGAGCAAACAACAGTTTTTCTGTTTTATTTATACACACATAATCTCTTTCTCTTTAGAAATGTTCAAATGTTTTTTTGTATTATTTTGACTTCTGTACTGTACTCTATTTTCGTTTCATTTCTTCCCAATAATTACAAAACAATGTGTGAATATATTGCTGTTCAATTTGTATTGAAACATAACTTTGTGTAGATGTATTGAGCGCATAATAACCTAACAAATTTAAATGAAAACACTCTGCCTCCTTAACTTTTAATGAAATTTTCAAAATGTCGTCAAAATTTTACAAAATGAGATTACATCGCACTTGATTTACAGGTTAGTCAAAATATATCTGTAATGTCTATACATCGTTTTTCCAGTGGCATACTCGTGCGATTTATCATCAAACAAATCATTTTTATATGTATCGCCTAAAGAGCGATAAAAAATTGCAATCCATTCGCAATGAATCGAATTTCAACATTGTTATTATTTTGCACACCTGTTCTGACTTCAGCCTGCCAAAATAATAATAATGAAATCAGCAAAAATAGATCAGACACGTTTACAAAAGCACGCCCTTAATTTTTTTCATCAAGTTTGTAAACAAACCTCAAACACACACCGGAGGGTCCGATACCCAAATACCTAAACGAGGTGAGCTTCAAGGTCGCGTATCTCAAGGCCCGACGATAACAGCGCGCCAGTCCAACACCGCGGCCGCGACCAGAGTAGACCAGACCAGTAGTCCAGACCGGTCTACGCCTCCTGTACGTCGTGAACGTCATGGTGAAGGTCGAACCCGTCGACACACTAGCTAGGGTTCACACCGTCTTGGATATAGATCCCGTCGACTCGCTCGGTAAGTTATAACGATAAGTCAAGTGTTAATTAAGGTGATAACATCCTCGAAGGTAATTAAAATACTGTAGTTAATCCTGCTATCGCTCGAGGAGTTTTTAATTGATTTGGGAATTATGGTCGTCGTGGGTGTTAGTGGAACATTCGGTATGTTGAACATTTTGTTATTTGGATTTTAGACATAAAACATACTTAGTTAGGTGTCATTTAATTAGAGATGTAGGCTACTATTTGGTGTGTATAGAATCAAAATTTTTTCAATGCCATGAAATACAATTGTATATAGCAAGTGACAAGCGTTACTAAACTATAATTTAAAAAATACCATTGAGTTTTGAGAAATAAACAAGAGCTGTTTCCTTAGTACATACTTTTCAATGTGTATTGGCAATACAATAATTATTTGCCGTGCCTTGTTATTAGGCCTACATTTCGTTGGTTGTGTGTAGTTTACGGAAGATAAACAGTTTTTTGTGCATATAAGATGCAATTATTATTTGCTGGCTTCTTGGGTATGTAGTGTAGACCTAAATTTTGTAAGTTTTATGTGTGTTATTTTACTCGTGTGTTATACATATCTGGCGTGTAACAAACATTTATTGTGTATTCACCGTTCTACGGTTTGTATATTTTTAAACTGGATAGTACAATTCGTGTTGATCAGAATCGAGTATACTTTGGTGCGTAAGCCTTGTACGTTTAAATCGTATCTTTAAGCTGCGTTTTTTCAGAATGTGCAGAAAAAACTTAGTTTATTGTCAAGATTTACTCATTTATTTTTTATTTCTAATGTCCGTGTCCAACGGTACCCAGTAATTCTACTACTTCTACTTAAAATAAGTAGTAACCAGTTTTGGTCATTATACGTATTATACATTTCTGTCCCACCGTTAACCACGCTGAATTCAGTCATATCGCACAGATTGTATAAATTTATATCACATAAATGTTGTAGTAAAATTTGTTATCTCGTTACCATCGATTTTCGATTTTCGTATTATTTATCAACCGTCGAAGCAATGATATCAATATGACATATTATTTGTCCTAACGACAACATTTTTGACCAATGTAGGTTATGGAACCGTATATCGACGATTATTCATAATTCATCGTTTGCTGTATTATTCACGAAAATAAAGAAACAGTTTCCTTGGACGGAAACCTTAATGTTCTCGTAGTATGACATTAGTTAACGATCTGAAATACTTGATCAAGTTTTATTTATGGTAAACGTGAGTAAGCTATGAAACATAGGTGTTTCAGTATTATTTACATGGCCTATTATTATTTTATCATTTATAGTTAATTTCTTAAAAATGAATATTCAGAGAATATACAAATTAAACTTGTTTTAGCTGAAACAAAACTTTCCTCGCTCTACGCCAAATATTCACACAGATTCGCTGCAGTAAATAAGAGATTCTATAAGTTGCAACGAGTTTAAAAATAAAGAAGAACCTAGCTATCCATAGCTTATTACCTCTATCTGCTATCATTGTATGATAACCTGAAAATATATTTTAGACAATAGCGCTCTCAATAGAGTCTAATTGAACTATCATTTCTTTGGGTAAAAACGTTATAAAGCTTGTCCATAGACGAGGTGCCTTCTTTGATTAAACTCGTTTAAAACATAATGGTAAAACGCTGTGTCCAAAATAAATGGTTTAACTAACCTTGAAAGCAATTCAAACTTATTCCAAACAACTAACAAGTTTACAGTCCTAATAATCTTACTGTTGAATGTTATAATTAATTAGTTCAGAATGTGGTACGACGAATCCTTGATCGGGCCAAGCGAAACGGAATCCTAGGGAGAAATTAATTAATTAATCGAGTTTTCTTGTTTGGTGTCCGTACGTGTTTGGTGTAGTGTTGGTCAGCTGGCTTGTTATGTTTTCGTACTTTGACTTTTAGACACGGTAATGAATGTTCTGGATATGTTCCATTCTTAGGCAAAGTACTGAGTAGGCCTACCAACTCAGTACTTAGTGTCAATATTGAAATTGTTTATTCTCTATTGTGTACCTAGAATACCGCAAACCACTTCCGTCGACCCATACTGTCTGTCAGTGTCTGTACGCATTTACTATGCTGGATAAATGCGTGGCTTGTTCTTGTTAGTTAGTTTGGACAACGATGCATCAAATTAATTATACTAATTGAATAATTTTCCTACCTCGAAGCAATTTTGTGTTGATTCTGAAGTGGTAAACAAGGCAATTCGCTAAACATAATATTATTACCATTACCAACTGATGGGGATTCAACTGAAGGGTGTATTTATAGAACATTGATTAAGTATGTGAATGATCAAAACACAACGAACATATAAGAAGAGTTACTAAGAGATCACCTCTTTGTCGCATTTCTCTAGATTAGGCCGGTGAAGATTGTCACTTATTGGCCAGGAAGATAAATATAGTGAATTAGAATATCACTTTCCAATTTTATTGACCGGCCGATTCCTATGCTTATTGGAAAATCAGTAACTAAATCTCAGTGAAAAAAGACAGCCGTGAACTGTTCCAAATCGAATCATCAAAAACTACTGAATTCAGGAACTACTTCGAATCATGGGCGAAACGGTCGCCCACAGTTTAGTGGGTGATTACCAACGATATAAACAACTCATGGATCACTGGCTCAGTGTTGGCCGCGCGGTCGAGCTTCCCCCACCATCGACTGGCAGAAGCCGACGCAGCCCATACATTCACCATTATAAAACACACTTTTTATTTGCTGCTCTGTTGAAATTTATAGGGATAAAATATTGCTAACGCTTGTCAAACTCTTTTTACTAGTTAAACCTTTTATGTCTGTTTTGCTTCTTGCAGAAAATAGCCCATCTGAATTCTTTAAAACTACAAATTCACTAAACCCGTTTTGTAGATGTTTTAGGCAACTGATATTGCTAGTTCCAAATTGTACATGGTAAAATAATAAGTGATTACAAAAGAGAAATAGAAAGTACAATATTTGTAATTGAAATTCTACGTTATTAATCAAAATAATAGTACATAAACTTTTAGAATAATTTTGCTAAGTTTTTGCCACAGTGGTAACGTTATGTTTGACGTAAACGAGATATTTTTTTCTTTCAATGCTTAATGACAATGTATCTTACAAAATAGGTCATAAAAAGTATGCTTATCACGTTAATGTCAAGCATAGATTTGCGGTAAAAACTGGACAAATGTAGTAGGGTTTTTAAGAGTTCAAATGTGTTATTTTCTGCAAGAAAAGAAGAAGACATAAAGTTTAGAATAGTAAAAAGTGTTTGGCATGCATTAGCAATATTTTATATCTATATTTTTAAACAGAGCAGCAACTTAAAAAGGTGCGTTTTACAATGGTGAGTGTATGGGCTGCGTCGGCTACTGCCAGTAGGTGGTGGGGGGAGCTAGACCGAAAACAGCGCCCGCAGTGCTACTGAGAGCGCAATCCAGTGATTACTTACACAAATATACCACTAATTGTCTTTTTGACAATAGATTAAAATCTTATTTTCTTGTTGCGCTTATACCCAGCAATTCCAATCGAACTTGGTCCTTCTTTTGAGACTTTTGTGGAGAGTTTTTTGGGCAGATGTTTGTTTATAATGTTAATCAAGATATCCAACATAGTATTCAAGTTAAAATAATCAGTAGCATGTTCAATGGAGATTTAAAAAAGTAGTACTTCAAGCATGTGGCCTCAACACGTTGACTACTGAGTTTATTTGTGAGATACAAAATGGAAAGTAGGCCTACTAGTAGTAGTTTTTATTGGCCAAATGACTTGCATTCGCCTGTTAAAATAAAGTATTTTAATTTTTGTCTAATATCTTATGAAACATTATTTTGCAGGCGAAGTTTATCCTTCTTTCACGAAGACGTTATAAATTCTCTAAATCTTAATTAAGAAAACACCAACAGAACATATTTGCACTCGTCACCTTGGCTAGGTATTTGGCTGAGGATTACGAGCAACAAAACAACTCAAGCTCCAGTGGATGACAGGGACTATGTTGACTATTTAGCTAGCCTTAATTAACTAGTCATTGTCTTGGGATAAAACTTAATTAACTATTGGGATAAAACTGTCGAATCGAGGACTGTTCGTTCAGAGCTCTAAAATTTACAAAAGTTTATTATTATTTTTTATTGTTTCATAATTTTATTTTATTCCTTTGCGAGGTTTACCCCCAAATATGTTCACAGAATTGGGGTTTTTACGTTGAGTGTCATCTTATAAGATCTGCTTGTATAAAATTCAAATTGCTGTTATTAATGACATACTCCATTGTAGGCCTATAGATTCGTCTTCCCTACGTATGGATCAGGTAAATACGATTTCAAGATGTATTTTCTACCTGGTAATACATTGCGTTTCGACGTTTACCATTTGTTTCTTGTGATAATCAATTGTAAAACTATTTCAACCCAATGAAATATATTTGTTTACTAATGATTGTCCACAGGTATTATCCGATATTATCCTTAATTCACGTCATAAGGTACCTTGGAATAAGATTTAAAAACTTAACTTCACACCAGCGTTCTGAAACGATATTGTACATGAAGCACATTGAAACGTAATATTTTGCAACAGGACCAAGAGAAGTGTACTTGTAATATCCAAAGTAATTTCTGTTATTTATACTTTGTACGAATTGTTTCATACATTACAGTACAATAGGTTGATGGCGAGCCATTCTATACCAGCGCTATTTTGCAATACTAACTAGTTTTTTTAGTCATCAGATTACATTGACACAAATGGACGTTTTTGTTCATTTTCGCAACGTATTACAATAACAGCAGTTCGTTGCGACATATAACATTACAATTTCATTTCGTCTCTCCCTTTTCTTGTATATCGTATGATGGTTATAGATTTAGACTAAAATGGGCTTTGTTCGTAATGTTAAGATCCACATATGTAGTTGCAGTTTTAAGAAATGATTTCAAACAGATGATCATAAGTTGCGTGCATACGGACCCGTGCGAAAACTGA